CGACCATTAGAATCAAGCAGTGTCTGTGCTGGCAGTAGAATTTGCCATCTATTCTTTAGATCTCAAATCCTTACATGTTGTGTTCTATATTTAGATAATGATTAAAAAGTAACTTTAACATTTTTTTAAAAATACTTTAACCTACGACATTTTATTTTAAAATAAAAAATCTATTCCATACACAAAAATTATTATTCAAATCAAGATTAATATCTTGAGATGATATAATTGTCATAAAATGCGAACAAGACATTGCATGCTAACAGTGGCAGATACACTAAACTTCCATAAGGTCAAGTACATCTCCATTATTTTAGAAAAAATTGTTAAATTTATTTTAATGTGTTAAGGAAAAAATATAATTTTTGCATACCTATTATTTTTAAGAGAAAAAAAATTAAAATTTTAGACTCATTCTTAAATTTCTGGATCCGTCACTGCATGCTAACATAATAGTGTCACTGTCACATATATATATTTTATCATGTAGCAAAATTATTTTTTCAATATAATATATATATATATATATATTAAATTTAATATTATATATATATATATATATATATAACAATTTTCGTCCAATCATTTTCTCATTGGTTTAAATTTAATAGGACAAAATGTGTAATTATGGAGACTTAAACCTGGACTGTTGAAAAAGAATTAAGAATTCCCAACCACTAAACCAAGTTTTATACTTCAATATTTTTTTAAGAAATAAAATTTAATATTATATAATGTCTTCTCACATATTTCATCAAACAGATTCTTATTATTTATACTTTCGTCGTCTCGAAAACCTCCATGCAATTATTAGGCATCGTTTACGCTACCAACAACGTACCTACAATCGTGTGGCTTAGCTTTAACTGCTCAAAAAACAATACTTTGACCACCATGCGTAACAACAAATATTCCTCTATTTTATCTTCTCCTGATTTGACGTTTCGAACAATAAAATTTAAATATTAAACGTGCAATTTACCCTTTTTGATCTTTCTAAATAAAATTAAAAAAAATGTGTTACATGTCAAGCACTGATCGAATAATATATTTTTAACGGTATTTACTGGCCAAACACCGTAAATGATAATTTTGAATATATTAAGCACCTATATTGATAGAACTTTTGAATATCTACAGTAAAATTATAGTTTGTACCCTTATTTATTAAATAATGTGATTTTGATGGAATAATACCCGTATACTTAAAATTAAGTTTGCATAATTGAAGTAGCAAAGTCGTCATAAGTTAGAGTTTCGGTTCATCTAGCTTCTTTAAATTTGTTACAAAAAAGTTTAATTACATCAAATATACCAATAATTGTTTGGTTTTAAATTTTAAAATATTATAATTGAAGCTTCAAATTATTATATTGGCTATCGATTTAGACGTTAAATGCTTGTAAATACACATACATGTAGTACGACAAAGGATAGAAAGATTTGAACAATTTGGGACATAGTTTGAGCTCCTCTAGTGAAATTAACCAAAAGAAATTGTTTCACTGGTGCATGTAGTTCAATCCCATAGGAGAGGCAAAGTAAACGCATAAGAGATGAGATGGCAATGGCTTCCATGTTATGGTACGGAAGAAGATTAATGTATCTGTCCTTAAAAAGTTTCCAATTCGTAGCATATTTAGAAATTTTTTTAAGGTAAATATATATATATATATATATTAATAAAAGAATCTTATCGTATGAGATGAGCACAAATAAAATTTTAAGATGAGTACAATTAATAAGATAAACAACTAATATAAAGAAATTTGAATTCTAAAATAGACACATGTCCATTCTGAATTCCACTTACATTAGGCTCTGATAATGGCCATAAACAGCATCAACAAACACCGTTTTAGAGCTCTTCGTAGCTAATAATAATCCCTGAAATTTGCACCAAAGTAACCATAACGGGCAATGAGAGAAAGATAGCGTCTTTGTCACTAGAAGGCCAAAGCACACAATGAGTCCCAATCATCTTCCTATTAGGAGTTTTGAGCTTGTTAGTTTTAAGCATTGGAAAACCAACCCGCTTATTATTCGGCAATTGTTATGCATTATTAGGTTTCTTCTTTGTTTGTACTTGGTGACTTCAACCTTTTATTTGTATTGGTCAATGACTTCGTACGGAAGATTTATTTGTTGAATGACCAGAATAGTGCATTACACTTCTACTTGTTACAAGGAATTTTGTTTATTTATTTGTACTTTGATTTGATCCATGTATACAGTTTGATTTGTTCAACGTAAAGAATAACAATAATGATTAAAACACTTATCCACTTTCTGAGTAACATAACAGTTGCGGAAAAAACAACAAATGCGAAAAATTAGCATCACTATTGTATACATTTGTCTTTGTTTTTGTTTCTTCATTACACAGATCAATCGAAATGGACTTCTCCCGAAAGTTTCAGACGTTTCTTGCTTCAAATTTGCAGCATTCTTCGTCCGCTTCTATCGTGAATTGTACCAGCAAGATGTGCCACCATCGTCACTGCCAGGACCAACAACCACTAGTGTCGACATTGAACATCAGCAGGTGTGGCTGCCGTCGCCGCCCTCACCTTCTCCTCTTAATGATCACGAATTGCGACAACCCCGATTTCCGTCTCAGCTCGAGCCTTTACCTGCTGTCCCGAATCTTCAACAATGGCAAAACTCAGTCATAGCATTCTGCTTTTCGTATGCACTCGGTGTGTCCCTCCAATATGCGGGCCCCGATCAGTCCAATCATCATCAGCTCCCTCTTCCCTTGGTTTTGCTTTCATATCTCGTCTTACTTACCTTCATTTTCATCTTGGTTGTTTTGTTTATCCACCCGAAGAGCACCGTGATTTCGCAAGCATTGCAGAAAGTTGCTCTCCTCCTTGCAGCAGCTGCACTCTGCCAAACTCTTTCGATTCCCTTCTCGTTTGAGCTCAAGTGCGCCATCTGGGCTTTGTTTTTCCTCTCCTTGCTCCTCGCCATGATCATCACGTACTTGAATACAATCAAGGCCTGATTTTAAATTTACGATCTGCTTGTTTCATGTAGCCTCTGATACTTGTTGGTTTCACAGAATGCTACAGTGAAGTTGAAAATTTGTCTTTTAAGTTACATTATCTGTTACTAGATTGCTTGGCGTTTGTATAAAATTTTGGGTTCTCTTCATATTTATTCTTGTTTCAGTTCAGAAATATTGTAGTTTTAAATGTCATAATTTATAGTGAGGATTGATTTTATTTATAGTTATTGGAATTACTTAAATGAATATAATTCTATTGTAGTTGTAAATATTGAATTTGGAATCTCTTCTTACAAGTGTCTTATCGTTGCTTATGGAATTGCAATTGGAACGAAATTAATATTCACGCCATAACTAGGAGGGGAACCAGTTCCTCCAAAAGCACCAATCAAATGAGACCTTAATATAGTTTTCTATTGCTTCTCGAGACTTTTTTGCTGTTCAGGGTTGTTCAATATTGAATTCAAAATATAATATCAATTACGGTTAAAATTATGTTATTTATCAAAAACATTATAAACTTAGTCGAAAATTAGTAATCCAGATTAAACTGATTAATTTATTTGTCTCTCATTTTCAGTAGTAGAGAGAAGTAGAAGTATTATATTTCTAGCCGTGACCAAATGCCACATACAACCCCAATCTGTTTTACAGATAACTTGGAAAAAGATTTTGAAGCTCTTTCCGACTCTGCGGTCTGTAATGGTCTGTAACACAAACGAGTAATGCCGGCATCATGAAACAAGCAGACTGTCAATTTAAAATCAGGCCTTCTTCATCATGGCGAGGAAAAACGAAGCCCAGATGGGGCACTTGAGCTCAAACGAGAAGGGAATTGAAGGAGAGTGGCAGAATGCAGCTGCAGCTAGGAGGAGATCAACTTTCTGCATTGCTTGTGAAATCATGGTGCATAAAGAAGGCAACCAAGATGATAATCAATGTCCAAAGTTTAGTGTTAATAACCCAGAACAGTCTCTCTCTTCAATGATCTCAGTACAACTTGTAAATAGCTAGGAATTTTCTGTTTCGTTTCACTTTTCCCATCGTCTTCACCCTACTGCAGAGACTAGAATTGTAGCCTGTAGGTATGCCAAAAACCCTTGGATTTGGATTTCATCATCAAAGATGATTCATTTTCCCCCCCAACCCATCCATTTCCATTAAGGCACACACACAACGAGTCTACCTTCTAATCGAACCCCAAATGCAAGCTGGTATCTTTGACGTAGTGAGAAAAAGGAGAGAGATCAAACACATGGGAGGATGCATGAACATATTTTTCAACTTATGTGATCCAAAGACAAGTTCTAAATAGTAATACTTCTATTTTATTCTAAAGGGTGACAGGAGATAGGGCCCAAGAGATGTAGGGATAGTTTGACTCCAAAATTTTAAATTTTTATATAATTTAGATATATTTTATATTTTTAAAATGGATGTCCCTTGTTCCCATATGTAATGGGGTAAGGGGAGGTAAGATAGTAGGCTGCTCCCAACATTAGGTTGGGAGCACCTTCCGTAGGAGACCTCCAAATTATGAAATGCCCTCCATGGGACTCGATCCCACGACCTCAAGGTTAAGAACCTTGTGCTCTATCAACTGAGCTGGATGGTCATTTAAAAGATAAATTTTTAATTAATAATCTATTTTTCTCTCTTAAAATTTTATAAATTCATTTATCTTATAAATTTATCCCTCTAACATAAAATTATATGTTTGTCTTTGTCTTAGGACCTTCATTAAGGGGCTCAATACCTTGAAAACGCAACAAAGTGACAAACTACTTGATCAAAAATTTCAGTAGATGTGATTGTATCTAGTGTCTCAATAATTTAATTCTTTTAGACCTTTAGGGGTCTTCTTATTTGTAAAAAGAAAATATAAGGATTACACTTTAAAATTTATCATAATAGAGAGATCAAAGCACAATTTGACCTTTCTTTTTTAATATATAAATAAGATTACTAAATCTCATCAGGCAAATCTTAATCCTAAGCCACAAATATTAACGGTCTTTCTCATTTACTCTTAAAAAAGGAAACAACGCCCAAAATTCAGTTAAAAGATTAAAAGTAAAAAAATGGATTCGTTGTTTCAAAACAAAAACCAGATTCTTTTCTCCTACGAGAACACCAAAACAATGGCGCTAACTCCTCCTCCTTCTATTTCTTACCCAAAATTACTCCAAATTTCTGTTAAATCTCCATCTCCATTGGTACATTATCTTCTCTTCGATTCTCGACGGCGAGATGCTTCTCCGGTTCTGCTTCAAAAGCCCTTCGGACTTCGTCTACTTCCGGCCGTAATGAGACCACTGTCTTTTGAGAAGTTCGAGTGCTTTGCTAGATCATCGTCAACGGAGGAGGATCGTTTGATCGATGCAGAAAAAATGACCGTGTCAAATGCCGGTGAAGGTGAAGTCGATGAAGGAGGGAGGGATGATCCGAAGGTGAAGCAACATCAAAATTCATTGGTTGCCGCGCAGAGGATCGCTTCCTCTCCCAGTGATTCTTTCTTGCTTGGAATTCGTGAACCGATTTATGAGGTTTTCTCTTTTCCCTACTTTCTGAAGAAAAATAGAATTCGTTTACTTTGTTATAAAACTTTAATCTAAGAAAGGAAGAAGAGAAGAAAATAGATATTAAGATAGTCTGAGCGAACAAAATGGAGCATTAGCAATTTGCAGAGAATATTAGAGCAATTTTGTTCGAATGTTAGTTCATGTTATTAGGGCATGTTTCCTAGTTACTAATTTGCTATTTTATCTTAGGATTTTTTTTCGCTGCCTCCCAATTTTGCCCCTCCCCCCCCCCCCCCTTAACCGTTCTACTATTTACAGACATGATAGTATGCATTTTTTAGACATTATAACCAAACATTTTATATTTGTTTATTTGGATAAATAAATTATCTATTCAGAATTTGAAAAGTTGTGAGAAAATGCTTTATCTCATTTTGCAGCTTACAAACTGTCATCATGGGTTTGAATTTATGAATAGTTTATAATTTTATTCCCTGTGTTTTGTTGTCAATCTCTAAAGGTGGTAGAGGTGAAGCCAAATGGAATTTTATCTACACGGAAGATAAGCCGACGTAAATTATTGAAATCAAGTGGTATTGTAATTTTTCTTCGTCTGTTTGCAGAAAAATAATTAGATAAATAAGCTAAGCTTTCTTTTTCCTTTTTTCTATATATTTATAGTAGATTAATTAGTTTTTCTTCCCAGGCCTTTGTCCAAGAGATATCCGCAGTGTTGATCCGTCTTTATTCTTGACAAAATCAGTCCCATCTCTTCTGGTAATTGACCCTTTATCATTATATCCCAAGATAATCATTCCTTTTCATTCTTGGGTTTAAGTATCAGTGTGTTTCTTTAGTTTCTTGTGTTTGCAAACTCAATTTTCTCTCTTCCATGCTAATTGCTATAGGTACGTGAGCATGCCATTCTACTTAATCTGGGATCATTACGAGCAATAGCAATGAAAGACCGTGTTCTTATATTCGATTATAATAGGTAAATCTTTCCTGCATCTGTGCAAATATGATTTCATTGTGATCTCATTATTCTCACCATTACCATCAATTCATCTTGATTTACTGTGAACTGATAATGATGATTGTTGCATGTGTTTGTTATTTATAGTGAAGGAGGAAAAGCTTTTATTGAAACATTGTTGCCTTGATTGAGTAACATGAATGGAGTGCAGGTTGTGCCATTTGAGCTTGAGGTTTGTGTCAAACTCAAGATCCTTGCTCTGAGATGCTGAAGTACAGAAGTCATTCATGCTTTCTTCTCTGGGTCGATGCTATAATCTTAAACATCTGAGCTTGTTAAGAGTCTTTAGTTGTGGTACTTCCAGGTTGTTGAAGCAGCATTAGTTTCACGGATGCAGCAGTTGGAGCAGAAACTAGTGGATTTGGAACCTCGTGTGAGTATGTGAACATAGTGAGTGCATTTTTTTGTTTGTTTCTTGTTTTCACTTCTCTTTTCTCTTTTACAAGCTTTATGGTAAATTGTCAAATCCCTGAAGCTGCAGACGACTGGTCCCTCATTTCCTACAGTAGTTGCTTGCAATTTCAGCAGAAAACAATTTTGTTTGGTTTTCAAGGTCTAAATGGCTCTACAATAAGAAATAAATTCTGATTGTAGCAACTCTCTTAGGCTGTAGTTCCACATTTTTTCCATTTATTTACATCTCTCCCCTCTCTCTTTCCTATGAGATACATATTCAGAAAACTCACTCACCTTCTAGTTAAAATTTACCATTAAAAATATTTGAGAAGTTTGTGTAAACCATTTTTTTCCACTCCTGGTGTTGCTGATTGTCTTATTCCACAAATGGCTGAAATTGCTGTTAATCAACTTGAGAATGTTGGCTTATCCTTTCTTTTTTGTTACAGAATGTTGGTTTTCTTTGATTAGTAAATCTAATAAACAAGTTTAAGCTATTGGGTGTCGAACATTAAAGCTTGTTTTTATGTTAATGTGCAAGTTTTTATTGTTAATATCCAAACAACTGATTTATTGACTCATTCAGATGATAAGAGATATGCATGTATTCTTTTATTTAGCCTATTGTATTGAGCCTACTGAATACCTAATGTCCTTGTGGCATTGTCTTTATCTCGTATATATGCCTTTTCTTGTTTAACTAAAAAATGCATTTTCTTTTTTAGAACATTTGCGCAGAAGCTTATTATTGCTGTTACAAAGCAATTACAACTCAGTTTGCAATAAATATAAGCTTGAAAATGCTATGCTTGTTTAGCTAGGACATCGATAAGGAGATCCTTGGCTTGCTCATTTGCAGGTCTTGCTTTGGGTTCTTACTGTATGTATACCCTAAGCATTTCTCGAAGAATTAATTATTTTTTAAGCTCGTCTTAATACAAAGGAACTGTTCTCCAACAAGTTATAATTTCTTTTTATAAAATTAGAAAGGTTAATTGCAAAAAATATCCCTAAACTATAGTCTATATTCTAAATTGATCCAAACTTCAAAACGTTTTAATTTAGTCCTTAAGGTATCTATATTGTATCAATCATGTCCTTCCATCAAGCTAGCTGTTAACTTGGGTGTTAAATGCTAGCTCGAATCTGAAGTATAACATATTTAAAACACATTGATCAAATTTAAAAATGGGGTACCTATCGAAAGAAATAGCCTCCTCAATTCTAATGATACTGTTTGTTTTTTAACACGTTAGGTCTAGGTTGTCCATGCGGTAAGTACTGGTGTTTGGGATATGATCCATATTTTTTAAATATGCACCACATCAAATTCAAATAGCATTTAATGCCCAAACTGACGGCTAGGCTGACAGAAGGATTTAACAAATACTGATACTTATAGGACTCAATTAGAACTTTTGAATTTTCGGGACCAATTTAGAAATTGGGCCATAGTTTGGGGGTGCTTGGTGCAATTAACCGAAATTAGAATCTATTTCCTTAGATATAAACCTGAACAATTTATTATTCATTGTGATTTATTAAAAACTTAAATTTGCTATGACTAATTCTTGATTATGTTATTTCTATTGTCTGGAAGTGTAAATTTGTACCTTGATTGTCTAGTGTTTTGGACTGTAGTTATGTGATATCTCATGAACCTGCTTAAATCATCATTAGTGATGTTCCTTTTGCATAGGTTCAAGCTATACTTAAGGTGTTGCCTAAAAAATTAACCGGTGACATATTGGAGCAACTTCGTATTAGCAAGCAGACTTTGGTATACTAACTTTACAGAACCTTGTTTAGTTGCTTGAAAACAAACTGTTAACACTTTCCTCTAATTATTATCTTTTTTCTTTTCATTTTATCATGCAAGGTTGAATTGGGTTCAAAAGCAGGGGCTCTTAGACAAATGCTGCTTGATCTTTTGGAAGATCCTGATGAAATACATAGAATATGTACTATGGGAAGAAATTATACACTTAAAAGGGGAAATGATGATGTGGAATGTTCTTTACCTTCAGAAAAGCTGATTGTTGAAGGTATAATGTGATCTTTCATCTCAGTATGGAGTTTTTTTAGTAAGAGTTCTAATTTTTCCGATTCGGTCATTTTGCAGAAGAGGTGGAAGAAATTGTGATCTTCAAAGGTTTTTCCTTCATTTCATTTATGGTGCATGCTTAGTATGCAGTCAGTGTATCAAATAGGATTATTCATTATCATTTCTTTTCTTCATTTTACTGTTTTTGATAGTCTTCAAGTTGGGTTGCAAGAGCTTTTTAAAATGGCCACAGATATTTATGATATGAACAATAAATTAACTAGATAAGTAAGATGTAATTTGAGGTTTGGTTTAACATAAAGGAATAATTATGATTTCTCAGAAGTTGCTAAGGTGGTGTTTGTTTTTGCAGAGGTAAAAGGTCTGCAGTCTGCGGACCACATCTGCAGGCATCTGCAGCAGAAGAGGTGGACCAAAAGTCTGCAGTCTGCAAGAAGAAGACTGTTTGTTTTTTAACGTCTGCAGACTGCTAAAATGAACTGAAATATAAATAAACTGACTTTTTAAACTTAAAAGAGTTTTGCAATACTGAGATTTAAATAATTTTAGTTTTACAATACTGAAATTTAAATAATCCATACAACTACAATAATAAATTATTTAAAATAAATCAATCCATATTTTAAAATAAATCAATCCATACTAATTAATTATTTAAAATAAATCAATCCATACAACTACAATAATAAATCAATCTATATTTTAAAATAAATCAATCCATACTAATAAATTATTTAAAATAAATCAATCCATACAATTACAATAATAAATCAATCCATTTTTAAAATAAATCAATCTATACAAATAAATTATTTAAAATAAATCAATCTATACAAATAAATTATTTAAAATAAATCAATCTATACTAATAAATTATTTAAAATAAATCAATCCATGTTTTAAAATAAATCAATTCATATTTTAAAATAAATCAATCTATATTTTAAAATAAATCAATGCATACTAATAAATTATTTAAAATAAATCAATCCATACAACTACAATAATAAATCAATCCATATTTTAAAATAAATCAATCAATCCATACAAATAAATTATTTAAAATAAATCAATCCATACTAATAAATATTTAAAATAAATCAATTCATATTTTAAAATAAATCAATACATAGTAATAAATTATTTAAAATAAATCAATCCATATTTTAAAATAAATCAATCCATACTAAAATTATTTAAATAAATCAATTCATACAACTACAATAATAAATCAATCCATATTTTAAAATAAATCAATCCATACTAATAAATTATTTAAAATAAATCAATCCATATTTTAAAATAAATCAATTCATACTAATAAATTATTTAAAATAAATTATTTTAAAATAAATCAATCCATATTTTTAATAATTATTTAAAGTAAATTATTTTATAATAAATTATTTTATAATAAATTATTTTAAAATAAATTATTTTAAAATAAATAACCTTATTAAATTATTTAAAATTATTTTAATAAATAAATATATTTTATAATTGTTCTCGAAGAGGTTTGAAGACTTTTGAAGACATAAAACCAAGTCTGCACCAAGAAGAGCTCGCGCAGACGTTTGAAGAGCTTCTGTCTTCTAAAAAAACAAACAGCCTGCGAAGCCTAATGTCTGCGCGTAGTCTGCGCGACGCAGACATAAGTGGTTTGAAGAGCTTGCACAGTGAAAACAAACACCACCTAACTGTTTCTTGCATTTCAGCTGGCCTAGAGGTTTTTCTTATTGAATTGTTTGCGCTTTGTATCTGTAGAAACAGTAGAGAGTATTCTCATTGATATTATTCATCAATAGAAAAGAGCTATATATACACAAGCTAGTATATCTAAACTAAGTAACTAAATATATTACAATTAATGGAATATATACTTTTATTACAAGTTAGCCTAATAATCTGTAACACTCTCCCTCAAGTTGGATCATAGATATTAGTCATGCCCAAATTGTTACATAGATAATTGATCCGAATTCCATTGAGAACCTTTGTGAAAATATCTCTCAGTTGTTCTCCGGTCTTCACCAAACCTTGTTGTATCTTCTCGCGAATGAAATGACAATCAATCTCAATATGTTTAGTTCGTTCATGGAAGACAGGGTTGGAAGCAATATGAAGTGCAACTTGATTATCACATTAGAGTTTTGCTCGTACTGATACTTTAATTCCAACTTCATTGAGGAGCTAATATACCCATATGATTTCACATACGGACTTGGTCATTGCTCTGTTTTCAGCTTCTGCACTAGATCGTGAGACCATATTTTGTTTCTTACTCTTCCATGAAACCAAGTTACCACCAACAAACACACAGTATCCCGAGGTAGATCTTCTATCTTCATTGCTTCCTGCCCAATCTGAGTCTAAAAAACATTCGATCCAAGTATGACCATGATTTCTATATAAAATTCCACATCCAGGAGCACTTTTCAAAAAATGCAAAACTTGTTCTACTGCTTTCCAATGATCAACAGTTGGAGATGACATATACTGGCTCATAACACTTACCGGATATGCAATGTCAGGACGCGTTACTATAAGATAGTTCAATTTTCCAATAATTCACCTGTACCACTCAAGATCATCAAAAGATTCTCCTTCTTTGGTTAATTGTAGATTAGGAACCATTGGAGTGCTACAAGGTTTGGCACCTAATTTTTCGGTCTCCGATAATAAATCAAGTATATATTTTATTCGGGGTAGAAAAATTCCTCTTTTACTTATGTTCACCTCAATTCCCAAGAAATACTTTAATATCCCCAAATATTTTGTATGGAATCGAGTGTGAAGAAAAGACTTCAGAGATAAAATTCCAAAATTCCACTAGAGTCTTTTCCAGTGATAATGATATTGTCCACATAAACCACTAATAGGATAATGCCTCCATCATACTTTCTAAAGAAAACATAATGGTCCGACTAATAGGATAATTCCCAAACCAAGCTCGAGAACTTTGTTTCAAGCCGTATAGGGATTTCTTCAGACGACATACTTTCCCATACTCCCCCTAAGCAAAAAAATCAGCTGGTTGCTCCATAAACACCTCCTCCTGAAGATCACCATGAAGAAAGACATTATTTATATCCAACTAATGCAAAGGCCAATCAAAACTGACTGCAAGAGAGATAAATAGTCGAATAGAGGATAGTTCAGCAACCGGAGAAAATGTATCATAATAATCCACTCCATAGGTCTGAGTAAATCCTTTGAAAATAAGACGAGCTTTCAACCGATTAACAGAGCCATCAACATTGAATTTGACAGTAAATACCCATTTGCACCCAATAGCTTGTTTACCAGTGGACAAAGGTACCAAGGTCCATGTACCATTGTTATCTAGAACAATCATCTCTTCAACCATAGTTGTATGCCATCCAGGATAAGCTAATGCCTCTCGAACAGTTTTAGGTATGGAAATAGTATCTAAGGATGTAAGAAAAGCACGGGAAGAAGAAGACAAACGATTATAGGAAACAACAGAAGAAATTGTGTATGTACATGTACGTTTAACTTTACGAAGGGCTATAAGTAGGTCAAGGTCCTCTGTGGCGATCGGATATGATGACAAAGATATTGGCTCATTAGGACATGATTCTGAAACTTTTGAAACCAGATTAAAGCTGACCAGTTGCGGGCGACGGAAGTAAGTGTGTTTTATGAGAGGCTTAACAAATGAAGGCTGAACTAATGTAGAAGATGATGACTCCAATTTAACGAGACAAGGTAGATTAAAAAATTATCTTCCTCTTGATGCACAGAACTTGAAGAAAAAAAGAAAGGTGTTTGTTCTAAAAAAGTAACATCGATAGACACAAGATACCTACCCAGACTGGAACTATAACAACGATACATTTTTTGTGTACGAGAATATCTCAAAAACACATATTTCAAAGACTTGGGATCAAACTTGGTATCTTGAGGATGAACATCCCGTACAAAACAAGTACACCCAAATTTTTTTAATGAGATGAGAAATAAATTTTTATTTGGAAGCAAGGTATGGAAAGGTGTTTTAAGAAGATGTATATTTTTCTTTCGGCAATACCATTTTGTGAAGGGGTGTCTACACAGGAGGTTTGATGGAGCATGCCTTGCTCACGCATGTATTTGTGAAGATGATCGAACAAATATTCTTTTGCATTATCACTTCGCAATATTTGTACAGGTGTACCAAACTAGGTTCAAATTTCAGCACAAAAAGAAGAAAACTGGGTAAACAATTCAGAATGATATTTCATTAAATAAAGCCATGTCATTCGAAAATTATCATAAAAAAGTAACAAAATAACAAAAACCAAATTTAGAGAGAACTGAACTAGGTCCCCAAATATCATAATGAACTAACTCAAAGGGAGCAGAAGCTCGTTTATTGACTCTAAGACTTTAACTATGACGGTGATGCTTAGCAAACTGACAAGACTCACAATCCAAAGTTGTTAAGTAGGAAAACTGAGGACGAAGTTTCTTTAAAGAAGAAAGTGAATGATAACCCTATCGGCAGTGCTCTTCAAAAGGGGTAAGAATCTCAGTGCAGGCAACAGATTCCGAGTCTTGAGCATCAAGGATATAAAGACCATTCAATTCATGTTCTTTACCAATAATCTTATTCGTCAAGAGATCCTAAAACAAACAATACCCAGGAAAAAATGACAAATAATAATTAAGGGTACGTGTAAGTTTACTGACTGACATCAAATTAAAAGATAATTGTGATAAACTCAAAACAGACGACAAAGTGATGAATGAAGTAGGATTAGAAGTGCCAGAGCCATACGAATTAATGTGGAACCATCAGCTAAAGTCACAGGAGTCATAGATAAATGAGATTGAAAGAAAGAAAGAAGACGCAGGTTACCTATTATGTGATACGTAGCATCAGAATCAATGACCCATTTTGATGAGGTGGAAACAAGGCATGTATTGGATTTACCTGAATCAACAAGGGCGGAAACGAGATCCGAAGGTTAATTCTTAGTTTCTTGAAGGTGAAGGAACTTGGCATACTCATCCGCAAATAATACAACAACCAGTGAAGAAGTCTTATTGTCATCCATAATCGCAAATTGACAAAAAACCCACACA